ATAACAGTTAATAATATAATCAAAAATCTAAATTCTCTGTAATGGTGGTAACGGTTTCAGAGTAGTTCCCACGAGGATACATGCGTTCTGAAAGTACAAAGTATTATGTATTTTATAATCAAACGAATCAGGCCAATTCAACAGCAAATATATTGAGAACAATTATGTTAAAGTTGTGTAATTAATAATACACTTTATTATTAAAATATATTTTCAATAGTTTTTGAACATTTTTCTCAACACGTTTATTAAATATTTTTCTATTATGTATTACTTATTATATCCGCTTTTATTTGGACAGCAGTGTCAATGTCTAAATCCTTTTGCATTGTCCGTTTTACAACATGAATGATATCAACTAATTGTACAAAATTTACGGTACCAACTCGAGATTGATTTGCTTGGAAAAATCGTTCTACAAGATCCTATTGTTATTGAAATAAACATAGACATTAAAATGTGTATTTAAATTTACAGTTAAAACATTTTAGTGGACACGTTAAAACGTAAGTTTAATTTTCTAAAACAGTAATTCAAATTTTGCAAATAACAGCAAAAAGCCTCAGAACATTCATAATCATAAATATTATGTACTTGTTATACTTACAAGAGAAAATTAAACCAATTTTACACAGAATAATTGAAAGTTTGGGTACTTCAAATACCTCCGCAAAAAAACACCTAACTAACCTTTAAACTGTAATATAGTAATCATTTTAGTCTATTATTTACCGTCGCTCCATCGTCAACAAGTATAGATTGGGCGCAAGCTATAGCGTCGTCCTCCCTATACATAGATTCTGAAAGAACAAAATTTTGTGTAACAATATTTTTATTTTTAATTGTTAAAGCAACTCTATAAATCGCAAATTTAAACAAAGCATAGTAAAAAGAATTAAAGTAAGGTGCAGTGTTTACAAATGAGCATCAGAGCGTTTTTTTGAATGGTTTCTTTTCTGAGAGGACTACTACTGTAGGGTCGAGGTATAATGGAATCAAAGCATAAAGGGGACAGAGAGAACCCACCAATACAGGAAATATTTTTAATAAAAGTCGTGAAATCATTAACAAATGAACACTTTCATGCTAATTTGTAAGCACTGCACCTCACTTTAATTAATTTTTAGTATGCCGGTATATACTGTGCTTGGTATGATCTTTACTGGTTTGAAAATGCTAACTACTGATACATATAAAAGCGTTTATTCGAAAGATAATTATTTAATTAGTTCACAATTTAGGACTACATTTTACAGTTTTACAAATGATAGACTTGATTATTAATAATTTATCTTTTCAATAAATTTGTACATTTTACTCAACACATTTGTTGAATATTATCCAGTTTTTTATTACCTGCTATTCTCCGTTCTAAAACAACTTGACTGGAAAGTTCTCCAGTTGCATGCGTTGCCCGTTTTACTTGGTTAAATAATCTTAAAAATTCTTCGTAGGTTAGGTACCTCCTATTTTGCTCGAAATAATCATCGACTATACTGTTTATTCTATGCTATTGTTATAAGAATAAGAATTAGTCAATTGAATATTAAAATTTGCAAGTTAAACTAATCCCTTTTTAACGAAAAAAAAATGCCTAACTACCAGACATTTTATATGGCTTGCAAATATTTTCAGCATAGTAACATAAATTTCATAGTAGTTAAAGTTTTTTTTTTTTGTTATTGTTATCAATAATTGCTTATATGTGAAATTATTACTTAAAAAACTCTTTGGTGCAAAAATAGAAAAGGGAAAACATTAAATAATTTTCTGAAAAATAAGTACTCGTTATACTTACACGTTGTAGATCACTAGGTAGACCACCTTGACATTGCAAAAAATACAATGCCACGCAAAAAGACAGTGTTATGGTTTTTAAAAACATTTTAAATATTCGATAATATTTCTTATGACGATTTTATAATGTTATTGGAATATTGTACTATTGCTTGACAACCGCAGTACTTATTACAAGAAAATATACTTGAAGAATGAAAATAGTACCAAGTTTTGGAACTATTTAACCGTGCAATATGTTTTAAGCAACAAACACTTAAGAACGTTTTTATTGGCGTTGTATGACATTCAATTTTTTGCACGCAATCCCTTTCTGTTTTTTTTATGTACTTATCACATTTTAGCAATGTTTACTTATGTGCAAAATATTTTATAGTTTATTGACAGTGTTGTGCGTTGTATGACATTCTGTTATTTTTTTAGGTATTTACCACATTTTAAAAATGTTTAAGTATGTGCAAAATATATGCATATATTGTCAACGTTTATTGATAGTGCCCCATCTAAAGAACATATCTAGAATGATCTAAAATGGGACAGTAACAAAACAAACAATTTTCTCAAAAATCTATTGTTAATCTTTTGTCTAAGAAAAACTGTGAAAAATAGACCTAATACCTAAAAAGAGTGGTCAGATATTTTTTTCCTTTGGACCGATTTACTTGAGTATTTTTTCTATACATCGGAAATGGTTTGCGGTTGGACTTTAGTGGATCAAAAGAAGAAAAATCAACTTCTTCACCCCCAAAAACCAAAACAAAAAATGTCCTGTTTTTAGACTTTAAACTCACTAGAACATAGCGAACTTAGCGAAAAAAAAAATACGAGTTTTAAAGTTGGAAATTTTACTGGCTATAATTTCAAGAAAAAGAGCCGGATCGAGCCAAAGCATCAAAACGTTTTTTTGAAAGTGATTTTATTTACTTTCATTACTTTAATTTATAATAATTCCTGTAGACTTGTGACCTCTCCGTCCCTCTATGCTTGATTCCATTATGCCTAAACTCTACTGTACTAGTCCTCACGGATAAAATCACATTCAAATTAACGCTTTGATGCTTATTTTTAAATACAGCTCTCCAATTTATCTTTCTAACTTTGCTGGTTTACACTGTGCTTGGCTTGGACTGTACTGACTTAAAATTACTATCCACTGATTCGTTTATTCGAATGTGATATCACTTTCAGATTTAAAAAATTTCGGTAAACCTGTGACCTCCCAGTCCTAACTAAGAGGTTGAAAATTTCACCCCTAAGGGGGTTAAAATGGGGTCGATTTCTTGTCCGTCGTTCTGGGTGGAATTTTGCAATTCAAAAAGACTTATTTCTCACCCGCCAGCAAAAATTATGAGTGGTGCGTTTGGGCGTGAACGGTGCTCAGATATAAGCGGTACCAGGTTCAAACCCGTTCCCGTCATTACACTTTTTTGCATTTTCTTACAACTTTTATGACAATTAATACGGTAATAAATCTAAAATTATAAGCTTTTAAATTGATTACTAATTCTTATGATAATCCTTCTGACCATGCAGTCTTTTCTATTGTAATCACCGCTTACAGACGATATGGACGGATTTTATTATATAATATTGTAATAATATTATTTATATGTAAAATATATCTCTATAAATATATGTATAATAATACGTATATTCATTATATAACATTGTACATTTAAATAATAAATAGATACGTACATACGAAAACGAAAAAGAACAAAATAACTAAAGTAGATTAAAAAATTAATCTAAAAATAACGTTTTTATGCGTCTTAAAAAGTATAAAATAACCGTCCGGGGGTCTTGATAACCAAATAGGACAGGTGAACTAGAAAAACGAGGGGCGCATCTTTACTACTTCACACGTCTGAATATATAATAACATTCTCTTCTCATTAATAACTACCTTAACTCATAATTCATGCACAATCATCTTTTCTCTTCTAAATAAAATAATACTTAATGACATGTCATGCAAAGTTGAGCACCACATTACTTAAAATGTTAAGCATGTAGGTAGTTAACAAAAAAATTGAAGCAACCTACATAAAACAAACTATGGAGAGAATAGCAATTAAGTCTTTCCAATTCGCAATGAAATTTAAGAAATGTTATTTTAAACTGTATAGAAATTTAAACATAGTAGGAATAAGATATCAAAAAATTACCCTGACCGATCATAAGTAAACTTCATGACGAATTTAAATCTGTTTTCAGATTATTTATCGGATCACTGGTTTAGCCTGTGCGATGGAACAAAAAATGTATGTTATATTAACTAAAATGGTTTTTACTCACAGACAAAATAATTTAAATTAAAAATAATACCATGAAGTTTATTCAAATTAACCGGTAAATTAATTGACATGATCGAAATTTATTAAAACAACTTTTTTCTTAAATATAGCTTATACAAAACTCCTTAAAAACCAACCGCATGCAATCCCTTAAGTATAAATTATTTAGGTCATAACAAAAAAAAAAGTATGTATTTAACAAATGGTTGATTACAATTTTTCGAGATAATGTACTTAATTAATACATTTTAACCAATCTCGTCAACTTATAGTTGTAAATTAATGATATAGCGGACATGATAAGTTTGCCTTTTTTCCCCAAAGATATTTCGTTTATATGTTATAATTTTTAAATATGGGCCATCATATTTTTTTCATAACAGCTGATCTCAAAATTGATTTTAGAATTTACCTAGAACGTCTTCTAAAGTTTTTACATATTTTATTAGTTATTATTAAAGAAATTTACATTTACCTGTTTTTTTTAAAGTATTCTTTAGAAATTAAATTGATATTTATTGATAGAGATAAATTATTTTTTTAATGTTACTCTAGAATTTGAAGAACAGCTATTCATAATAGTTAATACAAAATTGAAATAAGAGTTAAGAGGAACGGAAAGCGCTATTTATTAAGGGGCAAAGGATAGGCAATATTTGATCTAATAGCCATTTTTCGTATGCCTACTAATTTCAAGGTGAATACATATTATAATTTTCTAATTTTAATGATATTATATTCGAAATGACGAAAAGTCACATGTTATGTCAAATAAATAACAAAAATCTAAAGTAAATGAGTTTGTTCGCATTGTTCACAAACACATTTACTGAAAATTTAAATTAACTATAAATAATGTTTTATATTAATAGTGAAGTGAGATTTAATAATTTTTACCATCTACAGATTTAAATCTTTCACATTGAAAATATTTTTGTTCAAGTTATATTATTCAGTTATAAAAAATATTGATGTCCTCCTCGACATCACTAAATGCGCGATGCTCTAATTGTGTTGGGTTTTTATTTATTCATACAAAAAACAAGTAACGTTAAGTTTGTTTAAAATACAAAAATATTAAAACAATATTCACAATAATAATAGTAGTAACACTGTAGATAAATTATAAAAGCTAAGAACATTGATAAAAGAACAAAAAAATTCTGGTCAACAATAATAAACAGTTATCGTTAGTTCATTATGACTTTCATCAGCTTAACGGACCTTTAAGGCTCATCATGAGATATATGGTTATCGATAGTTAGGTAGGGTAATTTTGAGTCCCGTACTTTCTTTGCCAATGGAAGCTATTTGACATATGTTGCACACGTTGTCTTTATAGACAGGCTGGTATGATGCTAAACAGTATGGACATTTGATTTCTTCCTTTCCTTTGTAGATTGGTAAAAAAGAGTAAGCACATATTGCAAACGGATTGTGCTGATCGTAGGCTACTTGTATTTTGTTTACTGGATTTACGTCACAGGCTTGGACCATCTTGCGGGCTTGTTGAGCAACATCGGCCCGCGGACCGAGTTCCAGTAACCGCTTTGCAAATGACGAGGCCATAATCAAATTTCCAATTTTATAAAAAATATTAATAGCAGTACGTAAGGTAAGTACTTTATGAGTCATTTGCAAGTCACAGTGAGTGAAATAAGCAGCCATTTCGGCGACCCTCTTTTGGTCATCAAGTGTTGCTTTAGGATGTTCTTTACGAGCAGTTTCCATTATTAATCCTAACACATACTCTTTAGAAATATGAATTAATTGATTCACTTCACCAAGCTCTTGTTTGGTGTCAACATACAACAGTGGAATAGACAAAAGAATAGACCGGAACTTGGCTATGGTCTCTGGGAATTTACCGGCTGTAGTCAACTGGTAGCACGATTGCAGTTCACTGAGTAAATGTTCTAGTTTTAGGTCTAACACCGGTTTGTTATTGTTTTCTTTCCAATTTCTTTGGGGATACACAAACAAAGATGGGTGAGAAGGTAATGGGGTGTATGAACAACGAGATTTTAGGTACGTGTCCATGAACAGACTTTTAAATGGTTGGAAATTGGTCACTCCGATCTGCTCGTTTAATAACTTAAATGCAGTTTCGAAGTTACCCGACTTGATGTAATCGATAGGCAATTGGCTATTAGTAGACCAAATGTGGGCTTGACTGGGTCCTTCTTTAGGTGCAATAAAATAGTCAGCATCTTGCTTAGAAACAGCGATATCGGGAGGCAGCTCTACTTCTTCATCGCCAACGTCCCATCCTTCTTCACCAACTGCCACAGCCGCAACTTCTTCTTCAGCTTCTGAATGAGTAGGTGAAATTCGTCCCTCTAAAGCTAAGTCAGCTTCTGCGCCCCAACCTTCTTCTTCAATATCCTCACCGATTGTTGTATCAATAAGACCAGAGGCTTTACCAGCTGACAAAATGGCACCTTCAAAGAATCCCTTAGATACAGTTAACAACGGCCAATTGGATTCAGCTTGACTAACAGGTACTGGTGGTTTCAACAATACGGCATTTGGGTTTACTTTTGGTAAATTGCCTGTATAACCCTCTTTAATGGATTCAGCTTCAGCGTGCAAACCGTGGGTTTCAGCAGTTAGGTAGGCAAGAGATTTGTGACCGAGATCATTCAATATCTTAATCCTTTCATGACAATCACCCAACAAAAGAGCTCCTTGATAATGTCCAGATACATCTTTACGTATTTCAGCAATTTTCATCATTTTTCTTAATTTGTCCAAATTGCCAGTGATCAAGTATAAAAATGATAATTTATCGAAATTTTTGGTTCTCTGATAACACATTTCTACAACTTGATGATTACCTTGAAGTAGAGCCGACTGTCCTAATTGTTCCCAACATAACTTATCGTCCAAGGTTCTGGCTGCTTCCAATGCAATATCAATATTACCGCATTCGAGGGCCAAAGAAAACCTAGTTTTGTTGTCCTTAACAAAATGCAATGCAACTTCTGGATATCCTTTTTGTTGCAAGTATGCTATAATCGACTGACCGATCAACCTATCGTTTCTGACGATGTGCAAAACTTCTTCATATTTACGTTTTATAAGTGCCAGCTTAAATTTGTATTCAGTCGTATCTATGTTCAATACTCTTGGTCGGCATTCTCTGTCCAAGCAAAATACTTCATTGCCACTTACTTTTGTAATGTATATCGGGAGATCTAATGTTCGAATGATTCCATAGTCTCCGCCATCTGGTAGAGCGTATTTTATATGATTACTTGTTGTATAAATAAATACACCACATTCATCCCACGCGCCAGATTTGATTCTGGAATTCTCATGAATAGTGCAGAGTATTTCTAATTTCCTGCTACATATATAAATATTATTTTTGCACAAAACAGCAAGTAACGATCCATCATTAGACCAATTCACATATCGACACTTGGCTATTTTGGCTTGAGCTAACACTCTTTTTTGTGTTACATCAAACAATGTTAAATTTTCAGGATCGCGAAGCAAAAGTAATCCTGTACCAGCATAAAAAATTTCATTAACGTTATTAGGGCCAATATTTTTTTTTGTCACTTCATTTTTCAAGTTTTTCAATTGTAACATGTGCACTTTGTCTAGCACAGCAAATCGGTTTCTAGCAATCCAAACAGCCATTAGGCCACTAGACTTTTTGCTTTCAGGCGATTCGATTTTGCCGTTATCCGATGATTCTTTAGGTAGTTGATACAAATCATAGGTACTATTATCTACATCAGAATTTCTTGTTACTACTAGTAATGCATTTTCTGCGGGATTGTAGCTTATGCTGTAGACAAGCGTTCGGCCCCCACCTCTTAATTTCATAACAGTGTTGACTTTGTGTGTACTGAAATCAAGGCGGAGTAAAAACCTTTCTTTGACATAGTACAAATAATTTCCAAATTGTGTAAAAGCTGGCCTTTCACGCTCCAATTTAAATACTACCATGCCAGAATCGTGTCCTGCAGCGAATAAATTAGAAGTTGGATGAGCAGCAAGTATCCAAAATCGTTCGTTTTCTCGTTTAAATGTATTTAAACACGTTCTTTTAGTCAAATCCCACACACGAATACTTTTGTCTTCAGAGTTAGATATGATTAATTCTTGTTTTGGATGAAATACAACACAGGATACATTATTGTAGTGGCCACGACACGTATCTACTTCCCAGGCTTTAGAATCACTCATTCGCCACAATTTCACTTGACGGTCGTCAGCACCGGATACAATGAGTGGCATTGTAGGATGAAACGTGCACCAATTAACACCTCGGTCGTGTCCTTCGAGTACATGTTTAACAACTGCGTCGGATTGTCCAAACATATCATTTGGATTTTTCATATGTTCATCAAACCCTCCTGGACCGGGGGCAACGTTTTTCCTACGCAATCCAGAAATGTCCCACACCCGTATGGTTTGATCCAATGATGCTGACACTACTAAATCTTCAGAAGGATGAAATTGTGCACACATCACATAATGATTGTGTCCTGGAATAAAATAAAAGTTTAAGTTGAGATAAACCTTTGTGTGACTATATTATTAGTTTTATGATTATGATCAGTCTATATTTACATATATAAGTCTATATTAAAAAAGTCTAATAAAATATATTTATCAAAGTAATACGAAATTCTTATTTTTCGATAATTATATTAATGAGAAAAATGTTTAATTGTTCGCAACCAGATTTTGAAAGAGCCATGCCCGGAACGCATATTAAAGTAACGCTAGTCAACGGGTGTTTAAAGATGTATAAGACTAGCAAGTCTGAATGCTGTATTGTAATATACCAAGGCATATTTGCTTTGCAGTGCTCAAAGACCACATTGTAAATTATCATTTATATTCTTAGACATCTATTTTTATTTTGTATTATTACAAAATGAATGTGATTTACTTATTTAGTTGTACTTTATTGTTTATTTTTTTACTACTAAAGAAAACATTATCCATTATGTTTTTTTATTGTTTAATTATTAGCGTTATTATTTTATTGAAATCTGTCTATTAGGCAGTTTGCTTGGATTATGAACACAAAATGAGGATAATCCAAATATACATACCAGTAAGTACACAAACACAAGCACGACTTTGCCAGTTCCAAATTCGAATTGTTTGATCATCTGAAGCACTTAGTATCCATGGGGATTCATGATGAAACATGGCAGATCGTATGTAATCCAAATGACCCAGAAGTGTAAATAGACAACGACGTTGTGTATAATTCCATACTTTAATTTTGTAATCGTCACCTCCTGATACAAATATGGGCTGTTGACTGTGAAAATTGACACCGCGAACTGGTCCGTCGTGTTCATCAAATTTATCCAGCAAAGTGCACATACGATAATCCCATAACTGAATGACACCAGTGTGAAGACTGGCCAAAATCCACGGTCTTTTGGGATGAAAAGCCAAGCCCTTGATTCGGGCTGACTTGGTTTCAAACTTTGTTAACATAATACTTGTAGTTCACCTAGATAAAACGCAAATAATAATTTAAGAATATTATCACACACACACATACATAACTTACGTTTAAACGATTAATAATTATTTTAAAAATGTTTAGTATAAATTACTAGTTTTAATTAAAAAACGAAATGTACTTACTTATTTTGGTATTTTAAAAACGAATATAAATTAATTACATTTGAGTAAAATCTTGTTATGTGAAATCCGCAGAATATGTACGCAACTAGTTTACGTGGTAATTTTGTATTCAGTTATCAGTATTTTATTTGCTGATAGTAGAAGATTTATTACCGGTTAATATTTTAGTTAACGCTATGATTCGTAATTACCCAAAGACATGTAGACCCATATTATACTACTTTTTAATGTTTAGTATATATAGTTCTAGCAAATAGAAATAGTAGGCGGTATTACAACTTATAAGCTGCAGCTTGCAGTATAATTAATAAGGTATCATAATATTATAGTAAACAAGTAGTATAATGTATATTGTGATAACAACGGTAAACTTATCAGCACCAAGATAAAACTTGTTGATAACGAAACATTTTATAATAAAACCATAGATAACACATTCCGGTATCCGCAGTTTGTTTATAGTTACGTTTGAAAAATATACTGATGATAACTGTAGCCTTTTCCACTCTATGTTGCTCATGAGATCGGTTAAAGAACTAAGAATTTAATATTGTTTAATTGTAAAGATTATGTTTGTAAAATGTACACTGTACAGTTTCGGTACTTGTCTATGATTTTTGTTTATTCATACATAGTCATTATTTGAACACTGACATATACGTTTATTTGTTATACTTTGCTCAACAAATTGCTTCACCATGAATGATTGTTTTCAAAATGGAGTTATAGATTTAGATCTTTTATCAGAAACTAACGGATTTCGATTTAGTCAGTACAGTGGACCAGTTGACTGGGAAAATATAGGTAAATTACAATATTGCTTTACATTTATAATAATGAATTTTCACATATTTTGTATGACTAGCATGTCTATCTCTATCCTTATTGTTTCCATAGTTACCATGTTGTGAATTATAATTTTTTTCTAGTCAGAAAATAAGAACAAACTATTGTTACGCCGGGATAAAAAAAAACTGGTTACTTTTGTTAATAAATATTAAAAACAACTACATTTTTATTATTTATTTATAATGCCTTCTCCATATAACCAGATATTGTGTAAGGTAGAAACAGCCAACATCTGTTCTCACAGTGCTGCTAGAATCAAACCAAGTACAACCAGTGCATGAGTTGGATGCTTTAATTAAGATTGTTACTCACTACACCACACATTGAAAATTCAAACACTTAATCTTTCATTTCCAATTACAAAATATGTTCTTTTTTAGAAAATGTATGCTGTTACTTAGTCCCTAAAGACACAACTGCTACTTGAATGAAGATTAATAATTTATAGTTAATAGTTTTCATTAATTTGTATGTTTCATTATAATTCCTTTTTTATTGCCTCCAATTTAGGGTTTTTTTGTTGCGAAGACCTATGACTGTGTTGAACTACTAATTTCCATTAAAAGATCTTTTTAATAAGATAAATTTCAAACAATAACAATAGTATTAAAAAAAATTATTATAAAATATATGTATATAAATATAAACATTTTCAAAAAAAGTTGAATTTAAAATAATACTTGCGTACACGTAAAAGAAAATGTATATTTTGTAATTTTGATAATAAAATTCAATAGTTTGTTTTTTGTTTGATTTCAGAAAAAATTAAAGTCAATGATATAGTTGAGAAATCTGATATTAATGGTTTATTAGTACTGTTGAATAGTATTCTAAACTATGATGTTGAAAAACTTAGCCCATCAAAAAAGATATTTCGTTTGTCTCAGCTAATTATTGACTATTTGCTATATTTTTCAAAAAGTTTGTCATCAAAAGTGAATGTTAACGTAAGATAAATTATTTTGTTATTTTATTATAGACAAATCATTATTTAGAATTTTTTTTATGTATAGAATACACCGAACATTCAGTGTGAATTATGTGGTAAACAGTTTTCGAATACTAGATACTTGCATTCCCATCAAATTCGACGTCATAAATTAGATTCATGTTCCAATTCTTGTACAAATTCATTCAATGAGGACATAGGAAGTTTAAAATCAGAACTTATTGAATTGAAATCAAAATTAAATACTCGATTAGAAGTTCAAAACCAATCACAGGTAAGCAATATTAAATAGTTTTAATACAGCATGCTTTTATCTTAATCAAAGACACATTATTAAATGGACTGCGCATTGCAACCAAATTATGTTACCAAGAAACGTGTAAGCAAGACAGAGCTAAATTGGGCATGTGTTTCAATCTTACCATTTAGCCCAAACTAGCTCTGCTCCTCTTTCATATTATAGTATGTAATGTTTGATTCATTATTATACATTATATGTCTCCAATATGCTCGTTTCATTATATTACTAAATCTATGGTCTCAATAGGTATAGAGTATTAGTTTAATAAAACTGTTCTAATATATAATTGATTTTAGACCTCTGCAGAGAATATAATGACACAACCTAATTTTGACTGTGGGGATATCCATAAAAACAAGTTGCTGTATCATGTAAGTTGTTTAATTTTATAAGAATTTCAATGATGATAATTCATTATTTTGTTTAAGCTGATATCACAGCCAGGTGATAATCCTATGCAAACACAAGAAATGTATTGGATACAAAAGTACAAATGTTTAGAAGAAAAGTACAATAAACTACAACATGATTGTAATAATTATCAAATGCTTAGAAAAAGTCCTTGTAAGTTTGTTATAATATACCCAATATAAATAATATTAACATAATATTTTTATTTATGTGCAAACAATGAGTTTTTGACTGCATTTATACATCAACTATTAAGAAATCAAACTTTTTTTGTTTTAGGTGTTCAGGATAGTTATCAACAGTGCAATTTGTACGGAACGGAAAATTGTTCTAAATACATCCAAACCGATTCTGTACTTCTTAATAGTAATACAAAAAGTGTTCCTGAAAAATTGTCTCAATTGAATAATGAATATTTACTAGATAGTCCCAATAGAAGAGTTAATAACTTGACACAAGATCTAGTACAGGGTGAAGATAAGCCAGGCTTAGATAATCATCTGTGGAATGACGAAGAACGATTGGATAGAGACTTTTACGAGTTGAAGAAATTAAGATTAGAAGCTTGTATGAATCGTGTCAGTTATGATACTAGTCCTGACTGTTCGGTGTCTTTGCTTCCAGCAGATAGAATAACATTTATTTTAGTACTTGGAAAATCAATAGTAAATGAGTTGTTTAAAAATAATGGTGTATTGGATTTAATTAAATGCGATGTCAAAGATATAGTTACTAAAAGACTGGAAGATTATTTTTCATATAATGATAATGCTTTAACTGAAGAAAAAGACATTGTTAACAATTCGGTAACATAATATTTTATTTTATATTTAAGTATTATTATTGATGCAATATGTTTTTTTCCCTTAGAGTTTGATTGAAAAAGATTCCATTAATGAAATAACAACTGCCAATGATGAGGTTGCAGAAAAAAAACAGCACAAAGATAATGTTACTGTTCTTTCAAAACTAAAAAAAGCTTTGCGGTTTAAAAAATCGTTGTCTTCTGGTAAATAATTGTAGTATAAGTTTAAACAATATAAATTTACTATTCCACTATTTAATACTTTTTAGATGTGAATAGTAAGAAATTGGAATAAAATAAAATAAAAAATAAATAGTACCTGTATAACTTGGAATTGAACGACACTATATCAAAAGTATTTGTTGACGTTTTAAAAGTGTGTATATTTTGAAAATTTATTTTATAATAAATACCTTTACAATTATTTGTCGTATACTCATAGGTATTGTCCAAACTTACAACTATTGTTTTGACTATTCACGTTAAAATTCTACTTTGGGAATCACGTTACCAAGAGACCTGATCTTATTATTCTTGATGGATATTTGCAATATTTCTTCCATAACACAAATAATAATTATATATATATATATATATTATTTTTAATTTAATTTATTATTCTTGATGGATATTTGCAATATTGCTATAACACAAATAATAATTATGTAATTTTTTTAAAAATTGTATTTATTTATTTAATATATTTAATTATTATTTCAACATTAAAACACGAGTTGATCATGTTCATAAAAATAATACAATAATAAATATTATGATATGTACAAAGAAAGATGTATACTGTATTTTTAACACTACTTTTGTGTGATTTGATATACTAGTGTCTTCTGCTTTGAGTCATTAAACTATATTATATATTCCTTTTTTGTACTAAATTATATTTTTTCCAAAGGAAATTTAAGACACAATGACATATTTTTAATTAAGTCGGCTTCAATGATTTTGTATGTACGCCTGATCCCCTTATATTAACAACAAATAATTCAGGATTAAGATGTAAAGAACATATTTTAATACTACAAGCAAATTAAATTTTTGTTCAAAAATCGTAGTTCTCTAAATACGAAAAAGTCTACCGGTTCATGTCATTCCCTTAAATTCTTTAAAATTAAAACAATTCTTAAAGCTAATTTTAGTGGAGACCATGACAATTTAAATAAAGAGTACTTAAAAGTTTCAAGTAAAAAAAAAATGAATTGAGCCCTTAAAAAACAAATTTTTTTGAAATTTTTATTTTGTGATGTAAGTCAATATTCAAACAGAATTTATGTGTATGTTAAAAATCACTAATTTAAAAATAATGTTCATACACCACTGCTTTTGAAGGGCTCAATTATTAGAACCTATATTACCTAACAATATTACATATCTGTATGTGCACTGATTGCGCTTTGGTTTTATTTAACATTTAAGTATAGATTAACAATCCTAATAAATCGTATTATAAGTTTTATTATTATTAAACTACACAAATATTTAGGTTGAATTGGTGTAAACTGTCAAAGAGGAGGTAAAATAAAGTACATTAATTACACCGTAATTCATCCTACATAAGCTGGCGTGTTTGCATCATCCTCCTCCATCATTGACAGAGTTTCCTTAAAGTATCTCCTCCAACTGAGGTATGCGTTTTTGTAATTCATTCTTCTTTTTTAAAGTTGCAACTTTCTTTTTTCTTTATAAGTGCTGCAACTTGCTTTTATAATATTTCTCTGCTTCGCGGCCATATTATTGACGATACTGAAAAACACCCCCCCCCCCCGAAACGATTATTGTTAATTATAGACTATACTTTATGTAGAGATGTGACAATAGTACACTTTGGAATGATTTATTAGCTTGTGTTCGTTTGGATGAAATCAGCGAACACATTATCACGTGAGTAAATTTCGGAATCAATGACTTTAATTGCATTACGTATTAGTAGCCGACACTATTTCCTTATAATAATAATTATCTGCATATCAAAGTACATTACAATACATTTACATACGTCTGTTGCAACTTGACGGCCAACACGCATATATCGTTTCATTCTGAAATTCTCGAAAACACAATACTGGAGTTTGATTGATAGTTTTCAGGAAAAGTAAACCAATTTATAAAGTACACAACGTCTACGTCTGCGCAAAAGAAAATGGCGGTCACGATTTTTTTTGTTGTGCGGCCAAGTTTGCGTTTTACACGAGCGGACCTCATCGTACGTTTGGTACGGTCAACGCGTGTTTGCACCGTTTGGACATTTTCATCGATTGCTCGGCCATCGAATCAATGGCTTTATTTTTGACCGGTGTCGCATTGACGGCCGCTACGCAATAACGACCTCAAGCAAATTGTTCCAAAATTTTTATTAATTTACTTCATAAAACAGCTGTTATAACAGCTATGATATTAAAATGTTGTACACTGGGTATTGGGGCAATATCCACCAACAATATAATCTTGGACGCTTATAACATATATAATTTTCTCAAACACATTTTTTTTTAAAGAAAAAACCCCAAAAAATAGAAAAATCATACTCGTGCCTTTTTAATTTTCGAGGTTGCTGTGTGTGAATTAACATTTTGACTGTTGGTTACTTTCAATATAACATATTGTGGGTTACAATAGATATTGTTAACACTGCAAACAATTATTATAGGCAGACGATCAACCCTGATCGTATCCGTCCCAACACCAAAAACAACGCAATTTCAAGCACATTATTGTCTTTAAAAGGCTTTTATCGATTTTTGATATAATCTACCCTCTACAATCGCATCGAAACGATTACTTCAAAATTATTTTACCCCTTCAGTTGTCTAAGTTCCTGAAGACCCGTGGCCTGCACCGTTCTATTATGCTATCCGTCTTCACTGTGCTGGCTTTCTTATTTTTAATTAAATTTAATAGGTAGTACAAAATGATAATAGTATTAATAATATTTAAAAGTAAACCAAATGAGCCGTTACACGCAATTACCTAACGTTTACACTTGTGAGTTGTGACACACGTTGTCAAATAAAAAGTAGTGAATATTGTTTAAGGCAAACAGCCAACCCAAAACAATATTGACTCGTGATTTATTTATTTTAAAAATGTCGTCTGGTTCTCTTTGTGCGCGTTAAATATTGTCATTATTGCTTTTGTGTTCGTTGAAGGGGGTCGAAAATGAATTCCCCCGAGAGACGTAATATTACTCTTTGAAAGGCGAGCAACACTCGAATCACAAGTACTTCTAAGAAAGCCAAATAAATAAAACATGTCGATGGATTCCGCTTTAGATTTCGCTCATAGAAGTTATTCGGCTTTTATTTTTTTTTTTAAACAAAAAAATATGAGAATTTCAGGATTTATTTATTTAAAATTACTAGTTTTAATAATAAAAAAAAAGAGACTGCCTTTTTTTATATGGTGTTATTAAGTATACAAACGAATTTATTAAAACTACTATGATAATTGTAATATTTTGTCGGCGTTAAGAGATTTTGCTGGAAATAAAAAATCGTTTCCCGTCATAAACACAACAAAACTAATGATGTTTACATGATATTTTTATACTTTTTTTTTTTTAGTTAACTGTTAACGATAGCGCGTAATCGCAGGCAATAATTTTTAGAATGAATAATATTGTTCTCAATTTTTCGGATGCCTATAATTGCTTGTTAAAATGCTTAAACCATATAATCACTCTCGCCCTAGCACAATTTCGTAATCTTAAATGTATCGCCGTCACGCTGAAATCAAAAAATCTTTCCATCAGTATACATACAGTTAAAGTCGCCTTCTGTTTTGTTACATAATTATGTACAATTAAATAGATGGACTTGCTTCTTAAAGCTCTACGGAGACTTATATGTATTCAGTTATTCATGTTATGACTTTATCGTAAATTGTTAGATCTTCAAGCCCGCCTTATATAAACTTGTTTTTTAAGTACACAATTGGATTTTAGGTTATTTGTAGATAGGGACAAGTCTAATAAACATCCAATACAAACTTTCACTTCCAAAACCGACCGTTTTCACTATATTTAGAGCAAGTCCTAGTGAAAGGTTGCGTCAACATTTTAACGGTTTTGGGTGTGAAGGAGTTTACTTTTTCTGCTTTTGATCCACCCAGGTTCAATAACATAAGATTTCGGATCTGTAGAGGTGCTACTCAAGTAAATCGGTCAAGAGGAAAAAAAGTTGTCATGTTTATAGCTGTTATAAAAAAAAACACCCATTTGTCTCAAAATTATGTCTTTTTTCAAATCTGCTCCTTTTTGGGCAATATTAAACCGATTTAAACATGTTTTTTCTAAACGAGTTACAAAGTATTTATTATAAAATCGTATTGGTCTTACATGGTTTTAAAATATAACCACATTACATCTAAAATTAAATCTATTGACATATTAGCAAAGAAAAAACTTTTTAAAAAAAATGATCTTCTATAAAATCATTTTGTACATACTTTTAAAACATTTTTGAATTAAGTCATCGAAATACAAGTTGAGTATAGTAATTGTATTATTTGTTTTTTTGAAAAAACAAGGAAGACTAAAAAGTTTTGTATTGTTTTGTTGTATTGAACGTAGAGTGTTATTGTTCTGATGGAGAAATCACTCGTTTGCAACAATGAGCAAATACAATGCTACCACGAGGCTGTCTACGTATTGGATCTGTATTTTACACGAAAATATGAGAATAAAAGACAATGGCATTTTTAACACATTATTAAACGCAGTAACATGACAATTTATTGTCCGTTAAACTGCGTTAAAATGTACATGTTTTGTATTTAAATGCACATTAAAAAAAAAAAAAAATTACCATTCATATTACAGGGTAATCAGTAATCACTGTCCATATTCTTATTTATATTTATATATCCTATTATAATATATATTATATATTAGCCAGCCTCCAAAAAAAAAAAAACAAAATGTTCCCGAAAAATTGGTTAATTGACTATATTTTGTTTATTAACAAAAAACAAACATAATTTTTATTTATAAATGAACTTTTAAGTAGTGATATCAAATATTTTTCTAATGTACCTTTTGGATTTTTTTTCTCATTATCTTTCTAACGAGCTCACTCCGAATATTGTAGCTTCAAAATTGAAAAAAAATATAGTCAAAAGTTTTTCTTTTGACTATATTTTTTTGATCTCTTCACTCGTGTATTACCCGATCAAGTTCAAATGTTGACATTTTCATTCTACAATCCCAGATTAAAGATTTTTCGTTTAAACAAAAACGGGTATTTTCGTTTGGCCGGTCTAATATATATATATTATTATGCATACCGCGCCATCGGGATGTTTTAATTAGTTGAACGGTTTAACGGTAATAATAATTTCTAAAAGATATTCGGCCTAAGACAGTTGTGCGCAAAAGTTTTTAAGCCTGGTCGCGCTTATTCGTCGGGTCTCCGAGTATAGCTGTGAAGTTTTCAGATGCATATTCATTAAACGTCACGGTACCATATAAAGGGCGAGGAGGCATAAACATTTTTAAAAACGTTTAAATTAAGTAAAAATAAAAAGTTTTTCGATAAAAGGACTCCAAGAGAGGAAGACGGGAATAACCAAAGTGACTTTTATTTTACTACAGTGTTTTTAAAACACAATATACCTAATAATAAAACAAAATATGCACGTTAATTGAAATTACTGTGGTATATTTTAGTATATATAATATTCTAATACTATTGAATACATATTATAAGATTATATTGTTATATTACTATTATTGTATAAACTAATTTATACGCTGCATGGTCACACACAAAATTATTATGCTTTCTATATTGTTATTTTATTATATTATAATATAGACTATATTATATAATATTATTATTATTATTTATATAGTCAATATTTAGCCAAAACTACATTATACTTAAAATTATAAAATTATTTGATTATTTATAAACGTCCAAGTTCAAAACTACAACAACAACAACAATAAAAAACGTGTACAAGTTGTTGTTTTTAGTATCTATTAAAAAAAACTATTCGCTTGTAAGTTTTTTCGAATATTTGGATATTCAACGATTTCCTTAAGATTAAATAAGTTGTGTAGTTACTCAAAAAACATATGGTTTCAAAAAAAAAAATGTCAAATAGTATAACAAAAATGTTATCAAGGTATCAAAGGTCTATAAACTAAATAAATAAAAATCATAAAAAAACGAATGCCATTGACGGATTAGGGCTCAATTAATCCGTGAACCGGATTCGTTTTTGTTTTATCAACCAAATTAAGACAATATTTTTGAAAACAAGCTTTACACATTATTTTTTTTTTAACTGAACAAAGTAATTTACTAGTATCAGTATATATTGTCGCGATGCTTACCTAAACATTACTGGATATCACATTGGTTTTTTATAATAGTAATATAAAAAACATAATCATGGAATACATATGATACACTTAACAAAATTTACAGTATGGATGTTACCCTGTTCTTACATACACAATGCAATATTTACAATACACGCTTACAAAAAAAAAAAAAAGCTCATAATGATTAAAGCTTACCGTACTAAACAAACATTTTTGATTATTTAAGTAAACATGGAAATTGACGAACAAAATCCGGTTACAGTTGTGACGTTAAATATATTATACATACACATTATTTACATAGAATCTTTTTTTTAAATTCTTTTTACAGAGTTATTATCCTAGATAGGCAGACACACATGTTAGATGTAAATAAATAACGGTAAGGATGGTCCGAGGGTATTAACGTGTGACGGAATTGTGTAGCTAAATCGTTCTCATTCTGTCTTGTCGACTATAATCATAATGTGAAGGTATTTTTGTATACACAAAAAAAAAAAAATTAAAATCTTGGCACGAAAATGAATTATAATATTATTGCGCTTAAAAAAAGAGGGTCATAGCAAAAATGTTTATTCTCGTTACACAAATGATAAGGGGTAGTAAAAAACAAGGGTTGTACTTCTAAGCTTGTGCCTTACCGATTAGATGAAAAGCATAACCATAGTACAAAAACTAGTGTGGATAATTTCGTCTACTATATAATATGTAAGTAGCATAATGTTAATTTTAAGATATAACTTAAAAATATACGAGTTTTAATTAAAATATGCTTAAGCTTGATTTGGACATTTTTATTGAATAAGCTATGGTTTTTTTAAATTTTTTTAGCAGGCGGTTATGCTTTAAACCCAAACATTATTGAAAGTAAATGTTTCGGTTTTTTTTAAAGCTGACGTGCTTGTCAAAGATAATAAATATTTTTACTATTTCCTAAAGATCTAGGTGATGTGGGATCTCGCACTGCACGAGGACTTACATTTATAAGTGCCTGTTGAGTTTCCTGGACGGTCTAAAAATCAATAGAAATTTTTCCGTGATGCCATTTGAAAGGTTTCGGATATGTTATGGTTTGGGAAGGGATGGAGATCAGTTTTAATTTGTGCTGGTGTAAGAGTCGTCAAGAATAATAGGTTTCTTATGATATATGAAAGTCGCCCCGCATTAATCTGGTCAGTGTCTTTTTGAACTGATGGTTGGCCAGAGCGTAGCAGAAGGGGTTGATGGGACTATTGGCGTAACACAGGAAATAAGAGAACAGGAACAGCCGTTCGTTGGTGCACGGCGGCTTCGAACAGAAACCCTCGATCAGCGCTAGTATGTGGTATGGCGTCCAGCAGGCCACGAACGCGCCGAGTATGAACGATATCGTTCGGAACGCCTTGCGCGCCCTGTTCTCCGACTTGGACTTTTGCCGGCCAGACACTTTGGGCCGCTTCGCCTTCAGCCGCTTGCCAAGAGTCCGAACAAAGTCGCCGCGGGAACTACCTTCCCTCTTCTCGCTCTTGGTGGTCTCCGACGACGACTTGTCCACTACGGCGGACCCCATGTCGTCTGTGGCCGTCACAACCGTGGTGGTCATCCTGGCCCTGTCGTCCATCGTCACTGCCGTGTTCACCTTGGTCACAGACGTCGTCTGTTGCTGTTGTTGTTGCGCGGCCGCCGCCCTAATGAGTGCCGCCTGTAGCAGCGAAGATGACGCGAACGTTCCGTGTGCCGGCGAGCATTGTGCCGACGACGAGTCGTACATGGAACTGCTACTGGTCGGACTCTCGAACGTGGGCGATCCTACAATTATCGAACTCTCGTCCATGAAGTTTAGTTCGCCGGTGTCCATGCCGACCAGGGCGTCCACGTGACCGTTGCCCATCTCGGCTGGCGGTCGCTGAAATGTCAACAGACTACATCGGTCCGACTGTTGGCCATTGGACACAGGTGTCGGAGGGGGCGGCGGCGATGAATACGCCCGGTCCGAGTTGACGGCAGTATTGGAGTAAGACCTTATGATTTGGGCATGCGCTTGTTGCGACTCAGAACCGTACGGTATGAGATTGTCGGACGGTGACAAATGGATGCCGCTATTAGAACGTTGCACCAGTGCCGACTGGACGATGAGTTCGGCGACGGATTTTTTCCTGGGCCAGTTGATCTGCTTGTCACCAGTAGTGCTTTCTTCGTCAGACTCAAACGCGGGGCTGCTCGACCTCTCCTTGTCGACGACCACAACGGCGGTGGCTTGATGTTTGTCTTCGGTCGGCGGCATCGATTCGTAGTCGCCAGCGGCAGCCTGTTCCGACGTCGTTGTTCCGACTCCCGCGCTCGACGGCTTCGCTGTTCCCTGCGCCTGTGCCGGTTTTTCCTGCACGAGCAATGTGCTCTGCGTCTTGGACATGCCGATGCCGGCAGCGTGCCCGGCCATGCCCGACACCGTTCCCGCGCTCAAGGCCACCATGGACTGCATTTTCCGTTGTTTGGCCTCGCTCTTTTTCTGCATCTCGTACGCCACCTTGTAGATGCCGCCGTACAGCACGAACAGCACGATCAACGTGGTCCAGAAGTAGCCGATGATCAACGCCGTGTTGAACACCGGGTCCTTGAGGAACTGCACGGCGCACTGGCCCGGCAACAGATCGCGGTAGCCCACAAAGTGTTCCCATCCGAATATGCTGGTGAAGAACAGCAGCGCTGGTATGATCCAGGTGAGCACCACCATCCACATGACCTTGTCTTTGGTCCGCCAGCTCCTGTATTTGGCGGCTATTTTAACCGAGCAGAACCGGTCGACGGTGATCAGCAGCACCGTGTACTGGGACACTAGGCACACGGTGTAGTCGACGGACAGCCAGAGATCGCACAACAAAGGTCCCAGGTCCCAATATCCTTGCAGAATGTAAACGCAGTAGAACGGCATCGACACTGTGCCTGTGATCAGACATAAAAAAACACAATATTATCGTATCAACTGTCCATATGTGATAGACTGTTTTGATTCTCACCGATGAGCATGTCCGTGGCGGCGAGGGACGCGATGAAGTAGTTGCTCGGTTGCCGTATGGTCCGGTCGACGATGAACGACACCAGCACGAGTATGTTGCCGGTAATGGTCAATATCATACAGATACCGACGACCGTGACGATGATGACCATTTGCCAGGGTTCGAACGGCGACAGGACCGGCGCAAACTCGGTCGACATCACCGTCGTCCAGTTGTCCGGCGGACCGACCGTGGAAATGTTGACCGTTTGCTCCTCCATCTAAAAACTACAAAGTATAGCTACTCAGTCCAGCGTATATATATTTACTCATATCGTACTACGCATATATATTGCCAAGATGGTCTCCGACGAGCGAGCAGTTATTATCCCTCCCACCCTCCCCCCCTTTCCTACTCAGTATTATTACCACGGTTGCGAAATTACCGCAAGAGCAAGAGCCGTATGAGGAAACCGACGAGCGGCTAAAGTTTTTGACAGTGTGCAGGCGAAAAGTTGTTTCATTACCGACCGCAAAGTTTTATGTTATGTTTTAATAATATTTTATGAATAATTATTCAATTTTACGACCGCTGATTAAATTTAATTACTCGCGGATGCGTTTTCGGAGAAGCTTGTTATTAAAAAAAAAAAAAAAACAATTATTAAACCCAAAAAATTGAACACAATACCGTGTTCGGAAAAAAGATATTTTCAGGATATACTAAATTAGTTTAGTTATGTTTTGTATCCCGCTCAAGTTGTAATCAACCGCCTAAAGTTGTATGAGAAATAATGTCAAAATGGAAAGCGATTTTCGTTTGCTTATAATCGTCGAATAGTCGCGATTTTGAGCTAAGGCACAAGTCTACGTACAAGTACGACTTATAGTAATATTTATTACCTAGAAACTTTTTCAATGAAATTAATTTATGAGATTACATGGTGCATGTAGTTAAACCGCCAACAACATATGGATTTCTGTAAGATCACAGAACACCGCAAAAATAACTGAAGCAACGGACATATTTGATATCAGCAAAAGATGGATTTTTCACTATTTCGACTTCGATTGGTACTGGGACGGACGGAACACCTGTAACGAGACGTGTACAATATAAACAATAATTACTATTAATTAAATAACATTATTAATTGGATAAATCCTGCTGTATTTGTAAATTGGACAACAGGTACCAGTTATAATTGTATTAGCAGTCGTTCAAATGTATTTGTTTTATTAAACAATCTCAGTTAGTTTGCACTGCATTCCGGCTGGGTAAAAAACAAAAAGCTACGACATGCTCAGTACACAATAATTAAAAGGTCATTCGTTCCAAGTTTGGCGCAAGCCTATTGCTAATGAAACCAACTAGACGTCAGCATAGTTATAATTTTGTAGTTTTGTGCATTCATTTTATATATATATATATATATATTATTACTATAGTTATATCACCCGAGTAAAGTTTTATAAAAACTAAGAGCGATGGAAATTTCAGTTATGGTCATTATTTTAATACCGGCTGATTTTGGCCTGAAGTTTTTTTTTTTTTTTACTCAAACTTTATTATTCAGCCGGGTTTTCCCCCCGCTGAAGAACTGTAAGTTTGTATGCCGTCAAGAAACCAGTGTAAATTAACTATAGGTATAATATAGGCTCGCTTTTATCTCGCTCTCCGTCTGGACGTCGTCATCGCATAATCGAACTCCGCCACCGGCCTTTAATATTATTTATTCATCGCATACAATCAAAAGGTCATCCCTTTATCTCTCTTGGCCCCTATGGGCGGAAACCGTTTGGGCCAACGCACAATGGCGTTCAAACTCTGCCCGGGCATCATCGTCGGGCTTGATATTATTATTATTATGTGTGCACATTTTCCGGTCACAACCCGACCGGTGTCGATATTACTATTGTTATAGAATATCATATTTTAACCCGAAACCCGTAAAAATAATAAAGTGTCGGCTATATGTACTTGTATGCTTGGCGAGCCGTTAAGTCCAACGAGGTATCGGACCTGGTCGGATCGGATCGGCTCCAACAGCATTACCTCCTCTCCCCGCCGGCGACAATAATAATTCCTGTAGGAACTCCGGCTGGGACCACGACTCGAACCGCGTACGTCCCCACGGTTTAATTTCCTGTCGACACACAAAACCGATAATACATTAGAATACATTATAGGTATTACACGCAAACAGGTATGAGTCGTATAAATCACAAAGGTCGTCGTCTGTATGAGCCCGCGGACAAACCGCACAATGGTTGTTACCAATCCTACACTTGCAGTATAGCACTTGACCAAACATATTACACAATATTAACGAACAAGATTATTTCAATACTTCTAATTGGGTTGGGAGTTGTTTATTTGATAATTAAACAGTTAATAATGCTTTAGGCGATGAAGTTCATATTGACATATCAATAATATAAAATGTGGTTCGGTTTGAATGGGACATTGTTATTTGCTCTGGCTCATTAACAATATATTCTCTATATTTCTCTGCGAAGGTGTATACGTTTGCGAATCTTACAAATTGCACGCAACAATTCAAGTGTAGCGACAATAATATATTATACCGTGTTTGTTTGCAGAAAGCAGTGTCAAACTTAAAAAAAAAAAAACTATTCATTATTAATATATGTATAAGAAATACAGCCAAGTCTTTATAACATTTGATACCCCACAAATCGTTTTTTGGCCAGTAATTTAATATTTCAAAGATATACATCACAAAATATTATTGGATTATTTCCACGTTTATGAAAACCTTTTAAGAATATTGCGTATGGATTGTATTAGACAGTTTTTGTTTGAGAAAGTAAAACAATGAAAGTTTTATTATTGACTATTGACATTAATATCTGAATTATACTGACATTTTTGTTAAAATGAAAAAAGCGGTTTGAAAAATATACTGCTTAGTTCACTTTTTTTTTAGTACATCAGCTATATAGTAAGGCAAAGTGCTTTTGTCGGTAAATAAATTGTTTCAATCAAATTTTCCGGACATTATAAACAGAATTAATTATATTATCATGAAATATGTATGCTGTGCTCTTGGCAAGTATTCTACTTGTAAAATATTTCCACAAGTCAATATGAAGAAAATATTTATACTTTTAAATTGCCGTGTGAGTGGTACGTATTTTTGTATGTTTGTTTTGTGGCTTCGAGGAAGGTTTAAAAAGTTGTACACGTGGTATAGTATATGTCTGGAAAAATCGATCTAGGTACATGATTATAACTTTCTCCGGGAACCCTTGGCGTTGTTTACACAGTGTCAATAGAGATAATATGCATATTATTTCAAGTATATTGTAGAAAAAGGGAAAAGGATAACATAAAATTGACTTGTGAATAAAATATGAATCTGTCAGGCCGTAAACGCAGTGTTTGCTCTGTTGACCAGAGACGTTTAATGTTTAATTACTTCCCATTTTGTTTGCAACAATAGTTATCTATCCGCCTGTCACTATATATTATACTTTATGTAGTGAATTCAACAATTACTGTCGATGAATAATTTACAGCAGAAACATTATAACAACAGAGTTTATCAACCGCATCTTATTTTCAGCGGTTGCACGCATAAAACATTGTTCAATGTTTAATTTTTAGGACAATTTTGGTCGTGTGTTTATATTACATCAACGAATAATCATTGAACTATTGATCATAATGATTTTTATGTATTTTCTTCGTAATATACTCTACGCAGAAATTAGTTTTAAAATATTTCAAGAGGGTAATTTTTTTTTAACAAAGTGACTTTTTGACGGAAATGGTAATTGAATAATATTTCAACTCCAGTGATTGCGAAAATGACATATTTGCAATTGAAAATGTATGCTATAAATATTTTCACTGACCTCTTATATATAATAATAATTTATGTAAGGTGCTGTGTTTCTTGAAAAAAAAATCTCATAAACGCGAAACAACGGTATTTTTCGGTAAGCAAAAAATTAACATATAAAAACACCACCATAGTTTTAAAAAATTTTCCATTAAGAAAATACATTTTCTGGAAAAAAAATATTTTGTTTTAAAACTAAAACTCCATTTTTCGTACTAATGGCCATTGTTGTAATTTTATAAAAAAAAAAAAAAAAATGATGGAAATAGACCGAACAGGCAAAGGTAAAATTATTCAAAGGTAGTTCAAATGAAATGGAAAAATGTATTGTTGTGGCCGTCGACTACACTTTTTTGTAGTAAAAATGGGGAAAGATTGTTCAACTATATAAATTACTGCTTTGCTACAATTTGTCAATTTTTACATGTAATTCATATGAACGCCGCTATTAATTATTTTTTCTTTTTAATCTAACTACAATCTAAAATCTAAAATCCAAATATACTGGTATGTCTGTGTAAATATCTAAACATTTTTTTTATTTTTGTAATCGACCTACTTAGGTTACAAAACTGCATCTAGATAATACTTTGAATATTTTTGCCTTACAATTAGTCTGTATTCGGTTCGAAAAACTAACTAATATTTCCAGGAACACACCTAGAGCAGCTTCAGGGAAGTTATGTATCTTCTTTCCGTTTATTGTTAAAAAAAGAAAAAAAGAGTATTATAATTTAGTTAGGCCGTTTTGATAATGAGATTTTTTTATTATTATTTAGATTGTTGTATTAAAACTTTTTGAAAAGTTTTATTTTTATCGTGGAATAATGATTAAGTTAAAATCGCGTTTTTCTAATTTAAAGTTAAAAAATACAGCATATGTACTCAATGTAGGCATGATGTTATTAGTAGCGGCCAACAAGATGTTTTGTTTCTTTAACCGAAAATAATTGGTAAATTGTATTTTAAGGGTTTATACATTTTTATCGATAGAATATTCTTTAAAATACATTTTTTTAAATTAACTTAAAAAAATATTATTAAACTTATTAAAATGCAACAATTTTATTTCATTAATCAAATTTTATCATTTTGATAAATATTTGGATTAGAACTAATTGTTAAATGAAAACAACAATTATGTATTATAATTATTTCTCAATAAATTCTCTATAATTTAACATAATAAATAAATTACCTGTAAAATAAACAAGAAATATTATTAAGCAAATAGTAAAACTAACAATACTTTATTGGACGTACATCGATAGGGATTTTATTGAATCAACCGCAATTTTGATTTAATGTACTTGAGAATTTGATCCAGTGTAGGATTAGAAACATACTTTCACATCACATGTATTGAACATTATTAAGTATAGTTCTTAAAACTTTGACTGGTTTTATTTACCTATGTTTATAATGCTTTATAAAAATATGTAATTGATCGCTAATGACGAAACAGAGTTTAACTTATATTGGTGAATAGTACAATATTACAACATGTTTAGAAAAATAAGGAAAATCATATTCCCCAACAAGGAATTAGCGGAAAATTAAAAAGTAAGAATGGCGATTGATATGCTTAACAATAAATATATTCTGGAAATATTTTAGGAACAGACAAGGTTGCGGTAAAAATAACATATACAATTTGTTGGCTAGGGTTGATTGAATGGAAAGAAACATAGCATTTATATTTAGCGTTTTACTAATATCAATATATATATATATATATATATATATAAATAGCATAATATATTCTATATTGTTTAGTGTTATCCCACTCTAATCAATTTATTTGGCTACTTGTTATATATGTAGTGTTAAATTTTGTGCCAGCAATTACCATGATATCACGCAACCGATCAACATAAATGTTTTTATGATTTAAAATTATATTTTTTTATATTTTCAAGGATATAGGTTTAAAAAAAAAAACGTACCCCGTATAGCTATTAACAGCCGTATTTGCGTGTCCTCTGCATTTGTTTATCCATCCATCAACTACACATTTGCAGTTAATAGAAAATACAACAAATCAGCATGAATACATACATTAAAAAAGGAAATGAAGTACACAATATTATCTGTTAGGCGACACCTAGGATCAAGTAAAATAACGTGCCGGCAATATTGTTAATGCGACCGTTTTTTCAGCAGTGCAAGCCGAGTTGGGCAAAATCCAGATTTGCAGGTTTTGACGATCCTTAAATCCATTATTTCATAACAGCATCCTAGTTTTGAAATCCAAAAACAACCTACTTTGAAGCAATTTTTTTATGAGTCTACAAATTTTTAAAACTCCGGATTTCGCCTGAGTGCAAGAAAGGTGTTGTTGTGCAAAAAAAAAAAGGGTTTAAGTCGAAAAAAAAAAAAAAAACACAATCCATCGTCGCTGACAGTGGTACCTTTTAACTTTGAATAATTACCAAATGTCTCCATCATGAATGTACACAAATTCACAATATATTTACATGCTGTTCAATACGAATTTTAATAATACAAATTTAAAAAAATATACATATTTAAAAAAAAAAGTCTGTGCAGTGTTTAACTAAAAGTGATTTTGCTTTATCAATATTCCATGCAAAGTCATTGCGAGTAAATAGTCAATTATTTGATGGCGTTTGCAAGGTCACTAAAGTTTAAAAAGTGAAATAAGTATAAACAAATTACATTGGGTAGATATAACATCAAACAAGCACGCACTAGTGCAATTATTTTGCGGGTTCGTTTATACCTACGGTAATGTAATTTTCGATAAGAGTTCCGAAATCGTATATTAGCTTGATTGAGAATAATAGATAGGGTAGGCGTGAACTAGAGTTCTGCTTTGAGTCTTTACCAGGTTTTTTGTTCTAATGGATGAATTCACAAAGGATGTACATGGGTGAGGTACCATGGTGCATGGTGTTTGCAGATGATATAGTTTTGATAGAAGAAAATGTCAAAGAAGTTAAGAATTTTAGTGTAGGCCTTGATGAGGATGTGCAATACAGGATTAAGAGCGGTTGGATCAAGTAAAGAAAAGCATCAGGTGTTTTGTTATGAGACAAAAGAGTTCCAATGAGACTTAATGGTAAGTTCTAAAAGAGCGAAATGTGGACGGAAAGAATGGAAGAGGAAGACCGATACATGTGATTAGATGTGATTGAAAATGAGTTAGGTTAACTGCTGGTGTAGGCAAAAATGATGTGTGGAATGGAGATTTTTTGGGACAAGTGTGGCTGACTCCAGATATAGTTGGGATGAAGGTGGACGAGAAGAAGAAGAAGAAGAAGAAGAAGAGTATCTACAGTTCTATTGTAAATAAACCTTTCAAGTAACATAAGTAGTACTTAAAAGAAAAATACTCTGGTAGCTCTTGATATCATTGTTTGGTTTACCTGATTTTAGAACCTCTAGAAAGGTTAGGTTGTAGAAGACATAGACCTGTCCTAGGTACTGAATGGATATTTTTATTTTATTTTACTAAATATTAAATGTATTTAATACTATTATTAGAATAACAATAAAAAGTATATTTTCCAAAATCGTATGCTCTGTAAGTGCATTTGTGTACATTTTACTCAAAATTGAATCTGTTGAAAACAGCAGTATTGGTGTACTTACCATTTTTTTGAATGTTCACCGGCGTGTTGGTGTGCCGGGCCGGACGGTATGGATTCATCGTACCGTTCACCATCTTTTTCCATTACATTGCTGCACTTTTAAACCTGCAATAAAAGTTATGTTATTAGTACAGAAATTAGTAGTATAATCACTTGTCATAAACAATTCAATTTCACGGGCAATATAAAAATAAAAACCCAATTGGAATCAACACTATTGGGAAAGCCGATATTTTGCGATGTCTGACAAAAGGGCTGTAATTTATAGAATTTGCATTTTTACCATTTAACGCACACTCGTGCTCGGATGTTGCCGAACGCTCGCGCCGGGTCGTTTATCAATATATATAAATACAATTGCAAATTTGTCAAATGGCCCGGAAAACGCTATTACACGGTGACTGGAAATAATGGAGGTACCGCGATGCCCCGGCGGTTCCATTAAGCCCGGCGCGCCGAAAGTTTACCAAACCACAAAACTTTCATCCGACGATAGTCCTATAGCCGTGCAGTGATATCGGTTTGTCGTAAATTAGCAGTTTGCAATCTATTTAAGAACAAATATTCACCGTTAATCTGATTATACTGTACACACGCATGGGTCGGGGAGGACACGCTTCAACGGACGAGCCGAAGGTATGTGTGTGCTGTGTGAGCGGGTAACGGGGCAGAGGGCAAGGCTCAGCGCCGCAGTAGACAGGGTAAAGCTCCAGTACGGAAATAGAAATTCCCATGGTAAAACGTAAAACAGCGTTGTTGGCCGTTTTCCAGTACACGGCCGAGGGTGTATCCGAGTTGTTTATTTCGCTAGTGCATGTAGATTACATTATGTTTACACGTATAGAAAAAGTAGTAGCGGTTTTCAAGCGTATATATATATACAAACCGTTGGGTAATTGATATCGCGGTAAAATCAATCGGCAAAGCTTTAGGAGATATAAAAACGCCTAAAGTATACTTTTTGGTCTGTAATACGTTAAACGCCGGGAATAAAGGTCGTAAAACGCGTAGCTTAGCAGTGGCGGCGTTATACAATTACTTTACTGTGAGTGTCGGGGGCGTGTTTTGCATTAAGTGTGAATGTTATGACTACTGCGAATTTTGCATTTATCGCGGTTAAGGTCGCAAGTGCAAAGACATACTGTCGTGTATAGTCTCTGCGCGATTGTGATTTGTGACCAATGAAAATATATAAATTGAATTAAAGCGAAACAGCCATGCGGTGCGTACACTGGTGGCGAGGGTGTTATTTTCGGGGTAGATAATTTCAGGGTAGCCGCGGCGGTCGTCCGTGCTCGTATGGCGGTGCGCCTTTTGTACGTTTAGGCGCGACAATCGACGGATTTAGACCACCGGCAAGTACGAATTGGATTTTGGACACGTGTATATTGTGTGTGTGTGTGTGTACCGTATACTTAAGTCCTCCGTACACAGTGTCGCGACTCCAACGAGTGCTGCCGAAAAACGAGGCCGTTGTTTTGTCCAGCAGGGTCGTCATGGCGACTAATTGTAAATAATGACTATGGCCGCGGTCCCTGTGTGTAATATAAAATACCTAACCTACCTGCCGGCAACCGCGGCCGTCTCGCCTAAACGAGAACTAGGTTCGCCCTCGCCGCCGACATTGACACGGCGACCTTGAGCCACACCACTTCGGCCTTAGCCAAATGTCCAGAACCGTCGAATTACTATTCCACTCGGCCCAAACAATCATACACACGCAGGATCAATATCTACCATGTTAAAAGACTGTTTAATTGCAAGCGTGGAGTATTCAAATGTCTCATTTCCGGCATTTCAATCGCGAACACTCAAAGCGCTCATTTTCGCACACTATGATTTCAAAGGACTTTCGATGAACTTATTTTATGTAGGATATTTTATATAGGACAAGTATTAGTAGTTAGGATAATCTTAGTTAATCAAATAAATAGTGGTGTGGATAATTATGGCCGCGGTTTGCTGCTTTAGGCGTTCAACACTGCCAGCTAGCAGAAATGTCGCGGTTAGCCGCAAAAAGTTGTTATTGATTTTTCAAATCTTGTTCTTGAGTGTTACTACTACTCCGTGTACTGTTAGTGCCTTAAGAATATATCACGTTTCAGTTAACCCTCATCTCAAGGAACACATTATTTGACTAAAACTACATATTATAAACACTTTTACTATACAATGGCCCATAAATTATCTTGTATACTTCACAACAACATCAAGAAAAGACATTTGTTATTTTTGTTTTAAGCGGTGGCATTACTGTTTAACGTTAATCATTTTTTGTCGATAACAACAACTTTTTAAGTTAATTAGAACCCAAACATAATACGTTACTATATAATATACAACTACATATAATACATAAATATTAATTAACAAGTAGATCATTTTAACTACAACTAGAATTGGACAAAGTTAAGCGAGTGTCTAATTCTCATTATAATATATTTTATAATTCACAAATCCGCTGTTATTTAAAAGTGTTTATAATTTTATACATTTCTTTGATAATATTAATAATGAGTTTTTCTGAATATATTGTTATTTGTTTCAGGAGCTTGTCTTTAAAATATATTTATAAAAAACTAGTTTGCTCTATGAAAACGTACCCAGATAATAATTTTGTTTTCTAAAATATTTTTCTACATGCCATCTAAAAAGACTTGTCTTTTTTATTATACAGTATTTACTTTATTTCAATACCCTGGAGCTTTTTACCATAATGTTTATATCCTACCTTTAATTAGTTTTTCTAAAAATATAGTTTCTAGATTTTATTTGTAAATGGTGATACAAAAAAAAAATATAATTTAAAAAAAGATATAAATATTGTATTTTTAATATCTTATCTTGTATGGTAGTCGAGAATGTATTTGCAAACTATATTGAAAAATCTTAGTTTGAGACCAGCACTGAAGATGACAACATAGTTGTTGAAATACGTATATGCTTTAAGTATATAATTTTTGTGGATTGGGTTTTAATAAATAAATATAATATTTCCCACAAAGTTACTCAGTTTTTATTTTTATGTGTTACAATAAAATATATTATTTAATGAAATTCACGGTTTTATATTCTATTATCCGAGTCTAATAAAGTAGAGTACGGCCAATAGTTAAAATTCCATATTAATATAATTGGAAAAGTTATGGACGATGACCAATGCCGGTGAATATTATCACAATAAAATGATGTTATTTTATGACTACACATCAAATTAGATAAAAGCTCGGTGGCAGACCAAATATAACTTTATATGTGTTTGTTTGACATAAAAATATCGTTACTCTAGTTAATTCCATACACAATTTATCATTCCAGGAGCAAGAAAAAGGTATACAATAAAATCTACACTATATAACATACAAATAAAAACAATATGATTATATTAGACTTGTCGTTTATAAGACAATAACAGCTATATGTAAACAAATATTTTCAAGTTACTACAATTTGGGACTGGGTCATTAATATATATTCACTTGTTAGCATTTATAATTTGAAAATTCACTATTGAAATAAAGTTAGAGAGGATGCCATTAACGACAACAGCTGTGCGGCTGTAAAACCTAAACTCACACACGTGTAAATGGTATTGACTAAATGTGTGTAGGTACAAAGTTTTGGTCAAAGGATGAGAAGGAATAAAGGAAGTTTTTTTTGTGATAGAACGAAATTAAATTGCAAAGCGGTCGACTAAAGCATTCCAAAATCGAATATTGCGATTAACGGGCACGTTGATTTAGGACCGTTGAGACGTATTAATCAAACGGAATGCGTCCAATAACAATTAAAGTCCGGTACAAAATATTGTGTACCATATAAGTTCGTTTGCTCTGTGCTGGACTTGTCGAAATTACAACAACAGAAATAAGAACAATTATTAAATGCTTTCATTTGTTGTTTGCGCGATCGCCTTGTCTGTGTGCGTTTCCAACCACCAAATTTAAAGTTCGGTTTTTAGAAGCAAATGCTACATGTGTTGTACCGCCATAAGGCCAGCAAAGATGATAATAATAATGCCTTGCATTTGCTCTATACCCGATGTTGAACGGCTAAGGTTTTGTCGGGTTTTGAAGGGATTAGGGGACTACGTCTTGTAAGATGACCGAACCGCGGACTTGCTCTTTTTGTCGCCAATGTCATTTGGTGTACTTACTCATTGATTGCTAATTGATTGAACTATCTCATCTCGTGTCTAGCAAAAGCTTCAAACTAATTAGACCGCCATGGGTTATCCGTACCCGTTGACCTCGTGAATGCATAATACTATAAGCCATCGGGTGGCATGGCGGCGGTTTGCGGTGGCGGCAGCAGCTGTCGATATGCATTTGTTTGATTAGGCCAGCATTGCTACTCACTGCAGTTGATTTGCTCGGTCTCTTCCGGATCGAAAATTATACTGAAATTGTAGCTAACATTAATAGTCCATGACTGTATGTATAATACGAGTATACATATCTAAGATTAATGATTTTATTTTCGCTCAAATAGCAGTTATTTGTCCGGCCTTGTCAAACTGTCCAATCGCACTTTGATCTATTCTCTATCTTAATCCAGCACCCTAATTGTAGCCAGCTATAACTAGAATGGATTAAACGAGAGGGGAGGGGTAATGCAGATTGACCGGCATAGAGATAGCTTCTTATTTTAACATGGATATGACTATATAGGACTGGGGTCTATCTGGGATTAGCGTCATCAATTCTCACTATCATTTTCCCGACAATGATAAGAAGCAGGTGATTACGGATGCTGATAAGACACAGCTGATAAATTATAAGAAAGAAGAGAATAGTGATAAGAGCCATCTGATAACGGCTTTTGATAAGAGACCGGTAACATGAGATTAGAGATAAGAGATAGATGCTAATGGCTTAAGATAAGGATAGAATGATAAGACCTTAGTCATAATAGGCTACTGCTAAGATATCAGTAATTAGATATAGTGGGTATGTTTTAGGGTTGATGAGTGTATCTGTTATAAGCGTCATCAACCTGTGGTGAGAATGACCCAAAAGACATATTTATGATTCAATGTTTTTCCATGAAGTGAAGAAAATAAGTGAAATTTTATTTCAGCTGGCAGTCCACATTGGTTAGGAGCC